AAAATGATTCAAGCCATGAAACTGATCATCGGGAAAACTATCTCAGGGCTGTTGTACCCGGGTCCAATCTCATACCGGTCGAGAGATAACTTTTTTGTAGACCCAACTGAAAGGCTCAAGTCCTACTAGTGGCAGCTTTACATACCCCGCTATGTAACACCATCCTTGTTTGTGAGCTAGAAGATCCCAGACAAGAGAGCTGTTCTCTAGTAAACGATGCTGAACATAAATCTTTTCTTCCTGTAAAGCGTCAAACAATATTAACAAGCTATGTTACTAACGTTAGAGCGATTTTCGAATGACCTTTTTATTTAATGAAAACGCGCGTACAAAACAGAAACAACAAACGACCGGTAATAGAGCGATTGCATTAGTTTATCGAACAGATACAAACGCGCGTGGCATTTGGTTGGTTAAGCGAATGCTCGGGTGAAAAAACTTCATGCCCGAGAACTTTCTAGACATCAACCGACACTTTGCTTTGACGTCATACTGCAACACGATTGGCCAATCGAATTATGCCTTCTCCATATTAGGGTTTTCTTTGGCGGGAAAACGAAGAGGCCTTATTTTGATCTTTTCATTCATAGTCTGATAAAACAAATACAGAACACTTACCGAAATCATTTTTCAAGGGTATACGAAAATCGCTCTAACATTGAAGGTGTACTGTGCATGGAGAGATCGCAAAACTTGGACCAAAAATTTCGGTTTAAAATAGATAAAGGGCACATCTGTGTTTTGATGACTATGCGAACAGATACAACTGATTTCATTTGAGATAAATGAACAAATTGTCGTAAAGCGTTCCTTTTATGTACTCCCTTTTCAATGTCAAGTTTTAGCAACAACTGAACCCTTAGGCAATGCGTTGATGCGACAGAGACTATTGGGCTGGAATTGCATTTGTTTTTCCTTTGTTTCTAACCTGATCTCTTGAGAAAGCCGTAAACAACTGCAATTTTCCATTTTCGACAAGTTGCTGCCATTCCTCTTTGAAAAAGAAGTCTTTTTTGCTATTTCTACAGCCAAAGAACAGCACACAACCTGAAAAAAGGGGGAGAACGATCATATCGCTAGGTAATCGTTAATGGCTTTCAATAATCAAGCACCAGAATTTGTCAAATGACGTCTTACACCCGGCAGACTGTGATACTCTTTCTTCGATAAAACCCCTAAATGGCGCACATCCAGTACCTAAACGAAACCAAAAAAAGTATTAAAACAAGGTAAAAATTATCTACATCAAACTTCTTGGCGTTCCTCTAAAACAACAAATGGCACACCATATTTTTTCGAGGAAAACCTAAAAATATTGTCCTATTTCTGTTGGCAGTCACTGTCAAATGTATCGTCTCAACTTGAGTTTGGTCTGGGTAGTGATGCATTCTATTTTATTGCTGCTGTTTTGAAAACTCATTTTTATCTTTAAGAGGTTAAACAAATTACTTTTTATATGGCAGTTCAAGGTTTAAGTGCGCCGTTACAGGAAAACAAAACTTCAACATTAAATAAGATCAATGATCAGTGTATAGTTCACAACAACTCTACCAATTCTCTGTAAGAACGTCTGTTTGATGTTTTTACCCTCTGAGACAGGAAGTTTTCGGAAAAAAGGACAGGGGTGGGTCAGAACCCAAACCTACCCCTATCCGAACCAGCCCCTGCCAGCCTTTGGGCCTGTAAAGTAAATAATAGTGTTGTGTTCGAAGGATAGTGCTCTATTTACATCGTGATATTGCAAGTACCTGGACCAATCATAAGACAAGGTGCATCTAAAGCCTTAGGGAAAGATATTGTGCCTTTCTTGATCCACACGGGAACGCGTATGTCCCTGTTGCAGCAATCTAGAGAAGCTAACCACGTTGAACAAAGGCCTCTCCTTGGCTTAACTAGTTTAGTTTTATAGTTAACTACAGCCACAAGAAGCTGCACTTCATCTGGATGAACCTGTCACATAACAAAAGTACAGCGAAAACAACATAAATACACTATAAAAATGCTGATACCTATTACGTCAAGTAGAATAAGATGAGCGAGTTTCTCGTGTATTCTTCTGTTAACGCGCCTGTTCGGTCTGAACGAGCTTAGTCAAGTCATACTCGAGTGTATTAAGCCCCTACGGAATGGTCAGATATTTCCGACGACATGTTGCTAGACCGCATCGATTTTGGCTCGTCACAAAACACAACACCTTTCAAATAACGCAAAACATTTCTATCTGATATTTTCATTCATTAGTCAAACAGCGGCGATAGAAATGTCCAACACTTGTACTAACTACTTCACTAACGCAGAACCACAGTTTCTTTCGAAACGAAACACTTTTATTCATTTTCAATAAAGATGTTTAACCAATTTGCCCCTGAGCCACCCATAATCGTCCGTGCAGATCCACGCCCTTTCTACCGCTTGTCACGTCACCAGTTTTGATTGTGACGGATAACTTTGTCAGCTAACTTGCGCAGAGTGAAGTGATCTTCCAAACCATACCAGAATGAGCACAATTCAGTCAAGGACACCATGTAACATTGAGATGAAAATTTCCATGAAAGTCTTGTTCCACTACCCACCTACCTTTCCTTTCATCTAATCCTAGGACCCTAAAAGCGTTCCTAAAAACTTTTCCTACCAAAATGAAGCCTACTAAATGCCCAGCAAGAGAAAAAAAATGAGGCAACAAAAGCGAAAAAAGAGGGAAGGGGGAAAGCGAAATTTTGCTTTCTGCGCATGTCCGAACTTCGCAAGCTAATATTTTGCATCTGGATTAGAAGGCCGCGAAGTGTACGACCTATGAACGGCTTTGAGGCAAGTTTTAGCTCTTTGTAGCGCGACAGTGACCAGAAAACCATTCGACTAGCTTTACGGCAAAATTTCGAGGGGCGGATAGGTTGACAAGCCGGGTTTATTTTTTCCCTTTCATCGGACACTTAGAAGTTAAGTGTCTGTATTACTAAAGTGCAAAAATTAAATCTGGAAAGATCTTTAATGTGTGTGTACCTGTGCTAAACTTACCATTAGCGAGGAGGCAATCGAGAATGCTCGTGGCTGGATCGGTGGAATGAGATCAAAAAGGTACTCGAATGGGATGTTTCCGCTTGCATCTGGAAAATCTTGAAGGACCTATTGAAGAAAAATTGTAACGGGAATTGTTTATGACAGATCTGTATGAAAAATCTTTCTGAGTTTATAGTTATTTCGTATTAAAAGGAAATATACGCTTAGCTTAAAGGGGCAGACCGGGGGGACTGATCCACTCTAGTCGCGTTCCTTTCGCTCAGAACTCACCAGCTGTAAAAATCCCCACCCACTTACTGCACTACTTTATAGAACGTCCACACCTCACCTGAATCCTCGCACTTTAGGGTGTTCTAGTAAAAGTGTCAAATTAACGAACGAAAAAATTTATTACGCTTGCTGTTGATTAAGGTAACAAAACACAAGAGTCACAGGGTACACAGGTAAGGATGCAATTCAGAGTATCGCTACACCCCCCTGGACAGGACGCTAACCCATCGCAGATCAATTATCCTCAGCATTGATACACCTGGCCGGAGAGAGACAAGGAGAAACAAGCCCCCGAGCATTATACCCCGAGCATTATGATACTAGTACTCATAATACACCGCCAAACAAGAGACATTACGAAAATTTTCTTGTGGAGTGAGACAACACAAGAACACGGATAGAAGTGGAACAACAAGCCTTCAAGCATATCCCCCAACGCGCTAACATGTTAGCAGGCTCACTTGTGAGAATTCGGGTAAAATACTCTGGCGACGGAGCCGACATCCAGCGGCCCATTCTCCGCGCCTGATGGCGGCTCCGCCGCCTAAAATTTTCCTTGAACTTGCACAAGTGTCGCCGCTCGCAGGATACCAACACGCAAACAACCGCCTCACTTCATTTTAGCAATGCAAAATGGTGAAGGAAAAGCCGGATAAGTAAAGGCGAAAAATGTTATTAATAAGGCAGTGTATAAAACCAGCCTACCTCTAACGCAGTCCTTTTCTGCCTATAACAATATGAATAAAGCTCCTCCTGGAAATAAAAGCAAAAATTTCCGTTATAAAAAATAAACAGAACAATTCTTGAATTTTTACTGCACGATTACTTAAAACAATCGTAATACCTGCCCCTCAGCTGAGCAAAACTCTTGAAGCTTTTCCTTTTCAAGTTCTGAGGTGGTAAAATGTGAAAGCAGTTCAAAGAAGTATCTCCTTGGAACGCCTTGTATGTCTAAATAGTGCTCCACGAGATGCCTGATGGTACACGGTTGAGGAAGCTGATAGGGCAGAGGGATATCTATTGAAAAACAGTCACAGTCACTTTCAGCAAACAGGGTAAACTCTTGGCACTACCATTCTACCGTAAATTTTCAAATGACTCTTACTATCTTAGCAGGCCGTAGAGGTCGCTATTTTCGAGTAATCATCATTTTTGAGGGTCAAAACGCAGTGAAACAATTCTAGTACAAATGAAGCCGGGAGCCTTTCACGATATGCACGAATGTGTGAACACTGGGTATCAGAGCACAATTATTGTCGACTGAGAACTACAAGAAAGATCAATGTTTTTTTCGTAAAATTGGTATGTAAATCGTGCTAACGCCTTCCATGTTCATGACGATGATGATGATGATGATGATGATGATTATGATGATGATGTGGATGGTGGTGGTGGTGGTGGTGATAATAATAATGATATGGTGATAGGCGTAATAATGACAATGACGAAGAAGACTCAGTCACAGACAACGATGACCACGGTGATGATGACATTCAAAGAATAGACAAAGACAACGACATTAACATCAATGAGAGTAGTAACTTTGTTTGCAAAAAAAATACCTGGATCATTCTGCTCAAGAAGGAATGTCTGGTTTGGATCTAGTGCGAAAAAGGTGAAAAATTCCTCTACAACATCGGCTAGATTACTAGGCTGCACCATCAGAACATCTCCTGTGGAATGACTAGAACACAAAACCCTGCATTTAGATATAAAATGGTTTGTGTCGATAATTTTATTATGGGTGTTAAGTGTACTGTACCTCATTCCAGAGCCCTTTATATCAAACTGCACCAGTCTGACATCTTGCCAGTGATCTACAGCAGTCACACGATTGTTGGATATAAGTCTTGAACAGAACGGATGTCTTCTACATGGAATGGGATTGGGTTTAACTGTCATAATATAAAAATAAAAATTGCGAAATGTACAGTGAAACCCTGTTTTATAACACCTGCTTAATAAGAACAGCTGTTTAAAAACCAAACGTTTCCCCAATTTCAATAATGAAAGGCCCTTAAATCAGCCTGCTAAAATGACACTGATTAATATGGACAAAGGACACTTTCAGGTGAAAGTGTATCTTGTGCTACAGTAATTTATTGGACAGGTCTAACTGAACTTTTTAATCTTTTTTTTTTTGTACTGCAAACCCACTTCCTTTCATGACAAATAAAAATGCAAATCAACTAACCTTGTTTTTCCATAGAGTCAACTTCAATTGAGATTGAGTGATTTGCTGCTTGGAGACTACTATCTACAAACTTCACTCTGTATCTTGACTGAGGCCTGCATAAATATATAGACTCTATCACATGCACACAGTTTCCATGGATACAAATTTTAAACTTTGTTTAGGTCAACAAGAACTCTAATTAAATTGGATGCTTGCTTACTCACAGGAATAACAAAGAAACCAAAGGGGAAAGGGAAGTGAATCCAGATCACAAATAAATCCCTATTGTCAACATCCTAATTAATTTTTGTAAATCTTCTTTCGGCAACCAGAGAGTTAAGAACATGTATTATCTGTGGCACAGATTTTCAGTGGTCAGATAAATCCATTCACAAAGATATGTTGAGCTTGGCATGCCCGCCTCACAGTATCACTGACTTACAAACCCTGGGGATGTCTGCATTGCATTTAGAATCTATCTAATCATAACACCTCAACTTCACGTCATTGATAATATAATTAACTAATACATGTAGTTAATTAAGGCAACTTGCTGACCTCTGGCTTGCACTGATAATCTCCTTTCCAGGTGGCAGTGGATACATTTTTAGAACCTTTTCCCACAATTGCTTTAACCAAGGATCAACAACTGCATCTGGCCTACGAATAAAATATTATGCTCTGAGCTGACAGCAGGAGAGAGAACCATACTATAGTATGAATGGCGATGAGCATAACTATGGACACTGTAAATACGTCAAAATCAAGAGAGGCAAAAAGGTAGTGGATGGTACATGTTAAAAAAATAAAGTATTGAGGTCATTTCCTTTCAATGATGTTGAAGTTACGATACATTCCATTAGAATATTACGTAGCTTGCTTGCCTTAGACATACCCCAACTCATGCTGATCATCTGCAAGTCCAAGAGACTGTAGAGCAGTACCACCCAATTGAACCAAACGCTTGTACAGCTTCTTGGCAATAAAATTAAACCTGCACAAACAAAACAGTGTTAAAGAACTGACAAATTATAGGTACAATGCACTGTAATTAACAATCAAATACCATTAGTCATTTTTTTCAACAGAATTAAATGATATTTACTCTTTTTTGCTTCCAGGGTTGTCACGTAGATTCCAATTTACTGGGTACTAAATACAACAAGTAGGAAGGGAATCAAACAGCTAGGGGTATCTTTTGGTTCTATTTTTCTCCTATTTTCCTTTGAAAGTAGCCAGGGGCCAAGTTCATGGTAGCCGGGGGAAATCCCCGTCCCCTACCTCTCAATGAAAGCCCTGGTTTCACTTACTTTGGATAAGAAGAGTCTCCGAGACCAAGCACAGCAAAAGAAACACCAGACAAAGAATTTGATGGGAGGTTTCTTCTAAGCATAAATCTCCAGAATTTCTGTAAAACAATGGTTTTGTTTGGAACCTTAGAGTAAGGTGAAATAAAAATAAAACATGGCCCAAGGAGACCAGCTATAATAATACGCTGATCAACTAGAAACTACAACATCAACACCTGGGGCAAACCCTGGGTATTTGGCCATCACTTGTGCCAGGAGAGTGGAGAATTTGATCATTACCTGAATGGGGAAGAGAATTTGAACCAAAAATGTCAAGTTTAACTTCCTTGGATGATCCAGGTCAGATAACATGGTTTGATAGTTGCAATCTTTCTCACAGTGAGATTGAGGAGTTTAAAGGTAAAGAAACAACTGTTTTAAACAAATGGCTTGTTTGGCAAGGACCTCAAAAGATACATGGATGTGCAACAGAGACAATTATTTAATTTTTGTAGTGCAATTGCCAATCAACATCATGTGAAGTTCAGACCATTCACACAATCTCAAAACATTTCTTTGGGAGGGGTATTTGACCACTACATTGGGCTAATGTAATGGTTAATTGAAGATGTCTGTTTTAAAAAGTTCAAATGCCTGGGGGGGGGAGGGGGTTGTACAGAGGGAGAATGTTCAAGTTTCTAATTGGCCAGCGCATTAGCTTCAAAACAACTTGAAAAGAGAAAATTATGCAACAGCATGCAAATAACTTCATACTTCCCCTCTCAAAAGAAAGCCTTACCACTAGCTGTGAACAATACCTGCTATCATTTTAAGGCAAAGTATGTACAGTTCACTGACATACCAACTTGGTTACTGTCAAATTCCAATTCCCTGCTTCTTTGTTTTTTTGGTAGAAAATAGAATAACAAGCCTATTTATTATTTCATGAAGTTAAATAGCAAGCACAGCTCATGTCTGAGTCAGAAAATGTATGCATAGCTAATTATTTCTATGGTGGCCGGTGCAGGAATCTAGAAAAGTTTTCCCAATAAGAAAAGATATAAAAAACCTCACTATAACCTTCATATTGTCTGGCTCATCTCCCTGGCCAGTCGTAGCACAGACAAATATAACAAGTTCCTCATCAATTAATCTTGTCTGAAAAAAAGAAAAAACAAATTTAAAAAACAAATTCAGTACTCAATCTCACTGGTTTCTTCAAGGTCACAAGACATCTAGCAATAAAACAATTTCCCACCAAAAGTGTTTCTTGTGAGTCGGCTGCAAAATTTGTAATGTAGGAAGGCTATAAAAAAGATTTGTGTATTCCAGATCTACTTATGTCTTTGCTGTGCTAGGATAAAACATCTATGAAACGAACACACACATGGCTGTTAAGCTCAAAACGGTATTTCATTTGGCTTGTGGCAGAAGGCAGGCTAGGTTTTAAGATCATTTTAAATGACTGGTCCCTCAAAAAAAAACCAGTCAATTTTGTTTCCCTCGAATCTCTCTGTTAACTACTGGAAATTATGAGTCTCTCTGGAAGCAACTTAATTGTTCCCCATGGGTCTAGTCGTTTGTTGGATTTTTAAACCAGAACCGTGAACTAAACATTTAAATGCAACTGTGTTTTACTGGTGGTTACTTACTGGTTATTGATCCAACTTACCACATCGTAATCATCTAATGCCAAAACTGAAGCTGAAAGATATCTTCTCCTTGCCTCGCGTCCGATTCTTTCAGCTACTTCTTGAGCAGTTCCAGTCTGGGATCCATAAAGAACAGAAATCTTTCTTCCAGAAATTTTCGATAGATCGTCCGCCATTTTAGTTAGCTTTAATTTCGTAAACCACAGACCAGTGAAATCGCGGACTCTCAAAAAAGGAGATTGCGTGATTGTGCTACCCAGTCACGGAATACTTCGGCTATTCGACACAACTGTGAAATTGGTCGAGAGCGAACAAAATGGCATCAAATCTCGATTATGCGGAGGATATTGAAGAAGCTAAAGCATACATGGCTAAAAAGAATGTATTTCAACTGTTTGAGGTCAGTAATAGTGCCTATTTCGAATTGATCTTCTTTCCTGATGCGAAAATGCGGTCAATACCGTCGCAACAAGCGTGAATCAAAGGCAAATACTTTTTGAAAAGGATTTGTTGCATAGATGTAATCAGGGATAGAATTAGCAGCTTTTTCTATATGCGGGACACGGATTTTGCTGTATTATGCAATGAATGCGTGGTTCGTTGTTGTTTTTAGTATCTCATTCAAGGAGGCATTGTTCAACCACCGGCATGTTGTAAGATGTAAATCATTCCGTCTCGATTGACCTTAGCAACGAGAATGTTGCATGCAGTAGCTGTTTTATCATTTTATCGGTACCCTATGCAGCTTTTAAGAACTAGTGTTCCTTTAGTGAATGTATCATGATAGTAGACATAAAAAAATGACATAAAATTCGTTTGTTTTGAGGAATAAGATAGCAAATTACCGGGTACGTACGTAGTTACAGATTAATGGATAAAATGACATCTCCTTAGTCCTTTCATTACAAAAGATCGCCACCAAAAATCGATTTATTACAATAACACGCCTCGTAATACAGTATTCTATTAAGAACATATTTCTTCGTGGTTCTGAAATACGGCATTTCTTGACCAGTGGTTGTGCACGATTGTTGAACTGCGTGTGGAAATTTATAGTTACCGAACGGATTCAATATGCTTCATCTTGACATTTTGATAAGTTAATCGTAGCGTACAATCCCCACACCGTCTTTGTTATCTTAAGTTGCCCATTGATCCGAATTCTTGCGTTCATTTTGGTACGCACAATGCAGACTGTGGAACAGATTGCAAGTTTGTCAGAAACAAAAGCAAGACAATGTTGTTTCTTCTACCGTATACTTTACGCGACACTAAGTTGGCCCAGTAGTATTTAGATTAGGTCACGGATTCGGCTTTTGTTGAGATTTGTTGACTCGGGTTTTTTCTTCCCAGTCCATGTTAGTTTTAGTACGTCTTTTATTTCCTGAATGTCAGAATCCAGTTTAAATCGTTTTAGACCGACCTTCTGAATACGAAACCCCATTGTAAAACCACGGAAGGAATCTGTTTCCATGCACCAGCGCTGGCTAAGTAACAAGCATCTGCTAACACACCTGAGAGGTGCTAACGGTATGGCATTACATTGTGTTCTTAACGAGGATTTTGGCTCATGATTGTATTTCTTTCTGTGGGAAGCACTCATTTAGCAGCCACTCCTGAGTATTATCATTTTCTAAGTTCCACCTCCGTGCACCATAAGTGACTCTGCACTTCATTACATCCTCCTAGGGAGTTTTTATACTCCATAAGGGCAAAAGATGGGGCTGAGATACTAACCTGGGGAATCTTTTGCTCCTCGCCGCTTGGAACGTCTCCTGAGGAGAAATAGCTGTATTACTCGGCTGCCGAGAGACCAACATATGTGATTTTCTCTACCTTATTTCAGACTTCAACCCCTTGCTTGAAGAGAAAATTTGATTAAATTCCAGGCTCTGGAAGCGCCTGGTTCCACAGAGTAGACAAAACCTTACACCGTTTCAGATCTAATCGGCTAAAATCTACAGTATACCCATTTCCCAAAATACCTATACACAGCTTATATATTAGGGCGTATTTACCCCCCGCCCCCCAACCAAACGGGAAAAGAGTTGCCACTCTCTTTTATAGACTTATAACTTGGGAAAGGCACTATAATTGTCCCTCTTGGAGTGCTGTCTGCTACTATGATGTAGAGAGTCAAAGAAGATAACTGAATAACGATAGGGAGCAAAGTACTCTAGGTGTCCATTTCACAGAGGTCTCTTATGCATAGAGTTGACTGTACTGCCGCCTTTTTTCCATAAACGGTGAAGCGAGCGAAATACGCAAGCTCCACAAAACTTGGACCCAAAGAGGAAAAGTAAATAGACAGTTACTCTAATATGAGGTAGAACCATTTCTATTTAGGAATAACTATATCATGATTCTTTACAGCTCCATTATATTCTCCCAAAGGTCGACATGTAATACCCTTCCGATGGTTTCCCATAAGGTTTTGTTAAGTGAAGTAAAAAGCTTATTTAGTACTTTTATTTTCTCAGAGCCTGTTGACCGCACTCGTTCATAATCGCCCTGAGGACCCCGTTGTCTTTCTACAAGAATGCCTTGAAACCGCCAAACAGAGCGAAGATCTTCGGTGGAACTCGTTCCTGCACGTTCAAGGAAAAAGCAACAAGAGCAAAAGTTCACAGACAACTGCAGGACAGTTCGATAAAGTGTTTGATACAGAATTAGACACACCGATAAATGGTTAAAACAGAGAACTTTATTTAAAGAACGTCATCAAAGTATTATCTTTTATTTTGTTAAATATTTTTTCATCAACAATTTGTAAATAAGTTCTTTATTTTTCTGCTTGTGCAAGACACTAAAATTCCGGCTTTGCTTTATAACCAATCTGTATATTCAAGAAATGTTGCTCAAAAATTGTTTCAGATTTGGCATGGAACATCCAGAAGCTAAGCTTGTTCAGTCTTACCCGGAACTGGGGACTCGGATGTTTACACGGGCTGATTAGAGCTGAACGTTTCTAGGCAACCGCAGACTCCTTACTGATTTTTATTCCAGTGCAAACAAATTCAGCTAAGCATCGAGCGGCAGCCCGACAAGAAAAAAGCACCTCCAGTGCCTCTCCCGTCTCGCGCCTTCAGTCACACGCGTGAACATTTGCGTGTCTCGCGCGCTTCGCTGGACGGACCAAGAAAAAAAGAGACTGCTCGTAGTCTATTACTGCAGAGCAAAACTTGAGTTACTCTCTGATACAGAGACTTAAGCAACTCTTCGTTTTATTCATTCACCAAAACTCAGCAAATCTGCAAGCTCCACTTTCTTGCGTTCTTTCCCTCGCCTGCACTTTCCCTCTCCACTTCTCAAATTTTTGACATGCATTGACCGAGAAGGCCTGGGAAGACACCACACAGGGACTCGACATGGTGCAAGCCACTCACAGTCAAGCTTTCGCTCGTCCAGTCGCTTGTACATTGTTTTTCTCATGCCTTATAAGGTCATGCCTTTTTGTGACATATCCGAAACCCGAGACGGCCGGCCGGGAAACGCTTTAAGAAGGTAACGCCGAGCGGAACACTAGAGACCCTCTAATAAAATCGAGGACGAGAACGACTACAAGTACGAGATTTGATTAAAAGGTTTTTCGCGTACTGTCAAAAAATAGACACCCCGGAATTCTTCATCGTACTTTTTTTCACCAGAAAAGATGGCACTGTTATCGTTATTGAAGGAGGTTAAGCCCTCTCCCGAGATTGCAAAATGCTAAAACTTGTAACATTTGATAACTTTCTCCCGCCACTACGACACTCTCGCTAAAAGTCGTAGTAGAATGACGACGGCCACCACTTTTTCCCGCCAAAATAACGCTGGTTCACGCGCGCGCAATACTTACTATTGAGAAAATCTCGTACTCGTAGTCGTTCTCGTCTTAGAATCTAAAGGCCCATCTAAAGGTCTCTACTAGGGGGGTAAGAAAGCGCAACGCAATACCCCAAGTAAACTACAACTTGGTTTACAACAGCGCTGATCTTTTTATTATCAAACATTGCAATTTGAGATTATCGTCAATGTAAACCAGAAGAAGTTTGACCTCTGACGCCCCTCTACAAAAAATCATTTNCCGGCTTTGCTTTATAACCAATCTGTATATTCAAGAAATGTTGCTCAAAAATTGTTTCAGATTTGGCATGGAACATCCAGAAGCTAAGCTTGTTCAGTCTTACCCGGAACTGGGGACTCGGATGTTTACACGGGCTGATTAGAGCTGAACGTTTCTAGGCAACCGCAGACTCCTTACTGATTTTTATTCCAGTGCAAACAAATTCAGCTAAGCATCGAGCGGCAGCCCGACAAGAAAAAAGCACCTCCAGTGCCTCTCCCGTCTCGCGCCTTCAGTCACACGCGTGAACATTTGCGTGTCTCGCGCGCTTCGCTGGACGGACCAAGAAAAAAAGAGACTGCTCGTAGTCTATTACTGCAGAGCAAAACTTGAGTTACTCTCTGATACAGAGACTTAAGCAACTCTTCGTTTTATTCATTCACCAAAACTCAGCAAATCTGCAAGCTCCACTTTCTTGCGTTCTTTCCCTCGCCTGCACTTTCCCTCTCCACTTCTCAAATTTTTGACATGCATTGACCGAGAAGGCCTGGGAAGACACCACACAGGGACTCGACATGGTGCAAGCCACTCACAGTCAAGCTTTCGCTCGTCCAGTCGCTTGTACATTGTTTTTCTCATGCCTTATAAGGTCATGCCTTTTTGTGACATATCCGAAACCCGAGACGGCCGGCCGGGAAACGCTTTAAGAAGGTAACGCCGAGCGGAACACTAGAGACCCTCTAATAAAATCGAGGACGAGAACGACTACAAGTACGAGATTTGATTAAAAGGTTTTTCGCGTACTGTCAAAAAATAGACACCCCGGAATTCTTCATCGTACTTTTTTTCACCAGAAAAGATGGCACTGTTATCGTTATTGAAGGAGGTTAAGCCCTCTCCCGAGATTGCAAAATGCTAAAACTTGTAACATTTGATAACTTTCTCCCGCCACTACGACACTCTCGCTAAAAGTCGTAGTAGAATGACGACGGCCACCACTTTTTCCCGCCAAAATAACGCTGGTTCACGCGCGCGCAATACTTACTATTGAGAAAATCTCGTACTCGTAGTCGTTCTCGTCTTAGAATCTAAAGGCCCATCTAAAGGTCTCTACTAGGGGGGTAAGAAAGCGCAACGCAATACCCCAAGTAAACTACAACTTGGTTTACAACAGCGCTGATCTTTTTATTATCAAACATTGCAATTTGAGATTATCGTCAATGTAAACCAGAAGAAGTTTGACCTCTGACGCCCCTCTACAAAAAATCATTTCTTTAATATGTCTTAAATATTACATAGAGTCCACATACGACTGCCAACTCAAATTCTATTTTTAACTATTGTTCCTCGTCAGTTATATAATTTTTCTACTAACTAATTAAGTAATAAATATACTTCATCAATGTAGCTACCAGATTGACTATATTGCCGTTTATAGGCCTTTTCCAAAAAATGTCCTGGATCCACGAAATAATTAATAGGTAGTAATAAAGATATAAAATTTTCCCAAAATAAGAAAATAGACTTTTTATAATAGCAGACTATTTTAAATATAAAATTATCACTTTTGAACGGGGAAAGGCAAAGATATTCGATGTCCTTTGAATCATCCAAGTAATTAATATACAGCTTTTCATTAAATACTGTTTAGTGTAAACACCTTTCAATTAAGAATATGTAAATTTGAAACACAGAAAATCTAACTTGGTTAGCATATTTTGTGAAATTTTCCTTTCAGTTGGGTCATAGGATTTCTGGTAAAAAAGAAACGATCATTAACTAAACATCAAAGCAATTAAAGACTCACATCTTACTTACAATCGACGACAACTAACTTTACAAATCTAAATTGGTCCATTTAGAAAATTTTGGCCGTAATTTAGAAAACCGGTAACTGACTAGATTCTAGAATACTCGTCCACTAAAAATTCACCTATAAAGGCTGCTCCCGCAGTCCCGCAATCGTCAAACGAAATTGAAAAAAACGTAAAACTGTGGATTGTATCATTTTTCGTTCTTTAAACCTACCTACCTGATGTTAATAGAGACATAGAATACAGGACTACGAGACTGCGGAAGCAATAAAGGTATTTACTTGTAGATTTATTGACTACAGGAATGTGGGACTACGATTCCCAAGCTGGGACTATGGGAGCAGTAGTTCTGCTACTTGCTTTAAATAGATTTGATAAGTACAGGATAACATAATAAATAGTGTGGGAGTGTGAACTGAAAATCAGTACACATTTACTTGATCATCGAAGGACCACGGGTAGCAGTTAATATCATATTTTGGGGGTTTAATAGATCTTTTGAATTTACAATGGACCCTGTAAGTTTTTCCAGCTTCTCAATTTACCTAAATTTATCTATTCACTAACTTTTCATTCTCCATTAACTTGAAAACTTTCCGTGTTGATGTCTTTGTATCATCAAACTTAATCATATCTTCATGAACCTACTTTTTCATCAATTTCCAAAAAAAGCTTCTTGAGCGAAGACCCCGACTAAAAATGTTAAAACCACAATAAAAGTATAAATTCCATTGAA